GATGCGAGGTCGAAACTGCAGTTCACCCTGGATGAGAACAACTTTTGGAAAAGCAAAGCTATGTGAAATTCAATGGAAACGTCAGCTCAATTAATATCATTGTGGGAGAATTCTACTACCAGTCCTTCATCACCTTAGACGAAATAGGGTGAATACATCTCATATTAAGTGTTGTTAACAATAGTGTGCAAATATAGGTTAACCGAAAAGGTAAAAACTCAAAAACATGCTACAATTCCTAAAGCAGACAATGGTTTCTCAAGCTCAATATGTATAGAGAAAAATAAATACTAAATATTAGCAAAACAAGCAATGGCTTTAGCTAAAATTGGAAGGTTAGTTTTCATTAATGAGGTGCAATCAGCTAATAATAGTAACTCACTGTATGAACATTTGGAATATCTAAACCTCTAGCGGCTAAATCGGTGGCCAAAAGGACGTCAATTGTAGGCAACTGCACCACAGATTCATTGCTTTCACCTTTTGAAGCTACATTCTTCTTGTCGGTCTCCAGTTGAGAAAACCTCCGCAGAGCCTCCAGTCGTTGTGCTTGAGTCATATCACCGTGTAGTTCTGCACAGGAAAGACCCATGAGACCCAGAAGGATATGAGCATGATGTGCTTGACGCTTAGTCGGAAAGAAAACGATGGTGCGCTTGGAAAATCCGCGGAACACGAGAGAAGCAAGTATGGCCTCTCGATGTTCTTCGTTCTGCGGCCTGACGCGTACAAATTCCTGATGCAACTGCTGAGCTAGCGCAGTATTCTGGTTTATGAAAACGCGCACAGGATTACGCAGAGATAGCGTAGCTAACTCGCGCACCTGATAAAAGTGATTTTGCATAAATAAAATAGGATTGTATGCTACATACTTCTCAGAAAACGGTAAATTAAGGAAATTTCATGACGAACGACTGGGAACTTACAGATGTTTCAATAGTTGAGGCATATGAAACAGATAAAAATAGTTTTGGAAAAGAAATAAGTGCAATGGATATAAACCATTTTGAATAATGCTAATGTACAGATAAAGAATATGCCCTT